TCCGAGTTCATTGTACCTCGAAAATTGTTAAATTATACGCAAATAAAGAAAAAAAAACAACAGAGATGAGCTTCTCGATGACTATTTCCTCCGATTTTCGTATGTTTCGAACTGTTGTTATCGGATGAAATTGTCGCCAAGTCGCTGCTACCCAGCCTAAAAAAATCACTTCCGTACAATTCTTATTAATACTGTACAGATCTTTATAAACAACCATGATGAAAACGGAGTCAAAATATACTTACAAACTATAAGAATATATTATATAATAGATAAAATAAAGAAGAAAAAGAGAAATAATATTTATACCAGAAGTTATATAAAATAGCATGAACAACTACTTTAGAAGTAATATTTATATCTCTATATTTACTATACTTATATATTACACACACAAACACACACATGTATGTGTGTGTATGTGTGTTATAAAACAGCCTTAATTTACACAGGCAGTTTATAAATAAATAGCCTTCACTATTTTTTTGTACGAGAATTATGTATAAAGAATTATTAAGTGCTTATTTGTATTGACAATATTTTTTTTCGTTAATTTTAAAAGATATATTAAAGACAGAATTGTGTTGTGTACTTAAAATTATGCAAAAGGAAGCTTGTTCTTCCTTCCCTCGATTAATCGCTACGAACAATTATATGTACTGTTGAGCGAAAACATTTCTGTATATAACCCAAACGATAAAACCGTAGAGAAATCGCTGATAATTGAATAATTTTCTCAATTAAAAAATTTTGACGTGTACATGATAATAAGTTGTTGATTTAATTTAATGCGAACGAGCGTGACATTTATGTGGTACAGATTTTGTTGCTAGCGAAAACACTACAGTGCGATAATGTTTATTCTTTTTTTTTCTTTAGGAAAAGGTCAGACAGTTCCTTGACATTTATATTCTGAATTACTCTATATGAAATATTAAAATATTATATCATTTAATTTTAGCGTTGCAATTTTTCTTTTTCCCTCATCTACTTCCTTTCCAAGATAATTAATTTATTTGATATTAAAGTTCGACCAATTCTATAAATTCCTATTAATAAGCGTTAATTCGGACACATTAGCGGGACACTTTTAGGATTAATAAATTATATTCAACCATATTAATAAAATAAATAGAGGTGATAACAAATAAAATCCAAAACACAGAAAATAGGTGCAAAATTAATGTACACACAAAATTAATGTACGCGCGCGCGCGTGTGTGTGTGTGTAAAATATGCAAAGTATTTTTAATTAATAACTATTCAGTTCATTTTTGGAGCTTTTTCAGTGAAAAATCTAAACGTATCCGTAAAAAAATCTTAAGATAATTACCTGTTATAATTTGTCCATAGAATAAAAATGCAATGTGTAATAATGCAGTCATTAATTTATGCAGAGATAAATGATTCTTTATGATTTTGAAATCACCTCCCAACGGCTCATATCGTTATAACGTGGAATTCGACACAGAAACATATATTTGTCTTCCAAGTAATGTGATATCTATCTTAATATATTCTGCCTAATAAAAAGAGGAGATATGATAAGAAAAAAAAATAGAATAAAAAGTTTTTAAAAGCTAAGAATGCAACTCACCAAACAATATCGCCAAATAGGAGAGAATAAAATCATCGGAACACACGTTCGTCTACATGATCGTTTTGAGTTCAAATAACATTAGATTAAAAATAATATAGTCAGAGATCTTATTTTTGAGTGTTAATTTGATAGGTTGATGGTGAAAAAAAGCTTGTGTAAACAGCAAATTTAAACTCGAGTTCTTTATTATCTCCCTGCGTAAATTATAATAAATATAAATAATAAAAACCTTCTATATCACTCTGCAAATTGAATTTTTTTCTGACGTTTAACATAAACATAAAACATTTTTGTTTATATTATGTATATTGCGTATATTATGTATATTGTGTATATTAGTTTTTTTGCAAAAGAGAATGTTTCACATTTAAAATTTCCATAATGTTCCAATTAAAATTACTTTGCCAGATTTAATGTCCTGTTCAATAATAATCGAAAATTGCAATGTTATATATAATTCTGCATGTTGATTGTAATATAAAAGTTATATAAAATTTTGAAAAATTTAATGTAATATAATTAAATGGAATAGAATGTAATTACTTTTAATATGGTTAATTTTGCTTTAAAACATAAGAAAAATAGGAAAAATTTATATACTTCTTTAAAACACTATAAATATAATTGTTCTCGAGCATTATTAACAGTATGTTTAAAGTACATTTTTGTTGTTAAATCTTATTAAGTAAAACAACAGTCCATATAAATTTTTGCTGTGTATTTTAATTTATAAAAGTAATTCCAAAGTAGAATTTTTAAAGAGTGTAAATTCCGATATTCTCAAATATCAGATCATCTAAAAAAGTATAAGCGATACACACATGCAAAAATGCAAAATTAAATATAGAAGCAATTTATTATTTATTATTTAATGTTATTGAAGAGCGTGTTGTGTACGATCAAAATAATAAATCATAAAATGCAATATTCTTATTATTCAGCCTGCATCACGGTTTTTTCATTGCATTATGTTACAATACATTGTGTCACATTCGCGTTGCACCCACTACATTGTGCTGCATTGCATTACATTGCAAACATATAAAAGTTTGAATCTATATATGGCATTCGCGTTGGCGTCGCTTATGTGTTTACATATTACGTTAAATAGTAAAAATCGAAACGCCAACGTGCACCTCGGTCGCCATTGCATCCGCATTGCATTACGTTGCATTGCATTACGCGCGCGTTGCATTCGCATCACGTTTTACGTTACGTCGGCATTACATCGACATTGTGTGTCGCATTAACTAAGACTGTGTTGTATTACGTCGGTTTCGTATTTGCATCTCACTAATACATTAATTTGCTTTCTTATCAATTGCTGATTTAACATTATTAAATACACACACACACACACACATATAGAATGGTGACTTTTTGCGTTAATTTGTGCACGCTTATACGTGCAATATCATACAAAATCATTAATCTCTATTTATGCATAACGCATTCTTCTATGTCCGATTTTAGACAGCAATCATATTTGTTTACATGACATTTATTTCATAAACATAAGAGAGCATTCTTTTATTATATGATATAATTATATGTCAGATATACAAAGTGACATATTTGTAAAAATTATGTAATGATATGACAGTTTCAGTTTTCTTATTACTACAGTAATATTTGTAACTGAACGGTGCAGCAAAGATTTACATCATCGCGATCTTTATTTATCTGTCACCGGTAATGGATTTTCTCTTGAATGTTAGGCTGCAATTCATAAAGCACTATTTATAAATCGACTAAACTGAATAGCTGCTTACTACAGAGATAAATGACACGACATAGTTTCGTAAAATCTAAACTTTATGGACTTCTAGTCTTTAGCCAAGAAATATTGAACACATCAGTACGAGAACTTGAATACCAGTAAAGATTTTAATATGAGTAAAATATTATATTAAAATTTTCGCTAATCTAAAGTAACAAAAATAAAACTAATTATTTGTATACAAAATCTTTATTAATATTTTATAATATTATTAATAAAATATTATTAATTTTTTTATCATTGTTACTTACTATTATTTCGAATACTATTATGTTGTTGGCGTATGAATATCTATTGGAATATAAAAAATATGCTGATAACGTAATGTCATTATTTACTTATAATGTTAATGTAACTTTATTACGTACTTATCATTCATCGAGCAATGGAAATGAATATCATTAACATTGTAATTTCTGAGAGTCTAATAAAATATAAGCTTTAGATAGCGCAAACATTTAACTCGAGAATGACGTGCATCGTATTCGACACACGTGTCAAGATGCATACGCATATATAAAACGCAACACACGAGAATGTTTCAGTTATTTGCGCTATTTCGCACGTGATATTGCCTTTGCTAGTCACAAGCATAATTATACGAACGCATATAGAACGATAAGCACTGCTTTATTTAGCATGCGCAATTTTATTGTATAAATAGCGTAAAAAATTCTAATATCTATGTAAATGAAATAGCATAATTCTTAATATAAACAGCCTATTTGTGGATCACAATGTAAAATATCGATTTTATCGAAAATGTAAACGAGGGGAAAACAAGTTTTTAAAATTTTTAATAATTTATATATATATGTTATGGATGCTTAAATGGATTACACATAATGCTTTAATAGATTTAAACAATTTTTCTTTATAAATTTTTAAAATTAATTTAATGTACATTTTATTTAAAATCAAATATGTAAAGCAAATCTTTTAATTTTAGTAAAAAAAGCTTTAAAATTTATTTAAAAAAAAATATATTAATTTCTAGATTTTTACTTATCTTATTTACGATTTGTTGCTTCCTTTTACAATATTTTTGTGTTGTACTATAATTTATACACCGGTTTGTGGATATCTTGATGAAGTATTTCCTTATTTATTGTTTCATTATGAATAATATTTCTTATACAAATCTCAGTTTTGTTTTCTCAATATAAATCATATTGTTTCTCGAAATTTACGTCAGAAATCAATGCTATTCGTAGACGTTTCATCATCGCATTGTGTTTATTATCAAAAGCGTGCATATAATTTTTATTTTAAAATTCTTACATTAATGTAAATAAATTCTATCTGCCTGCAATTTGCAACAAAGCATAAATTTATAAAATACTGAATGTAATAATTTTTTTCAACGTATATGGTTTTATAATGTAATCGCGTGGTCGCAGTTTAACGTATGAATTTATAAATAGAATATTGTATTTAAATATAGAAAGGATCATATATAGACCGCCTGACAGTTTCACACCGTACTTACACGCAGAAGATATCATCCTGAGTCGAGCGCTGCTCGACGCCGCTGATTTTAAAATCTAGCGCGCAGTTCACCTTCCGCGTTCCGAACGCAGTGGAACGGCGGACCTTGGACCGAGCAGGCGCTCGGCGCAAAACGCGGCGCATGCGCTCAGTACGCCGTGCCGCGATCAGCCACGATGGTTGATAGAAATGAAATAGAAATGTCGCGTGTGCCAATTCTTGTGATTCTGGGTGCCACAGGTTCCGGGAAATCTCGACTAGCTATCGAACTGGCTCGTCACTTCTCCGGGGAGATCATCTCGGCTGACAGCATGCAGGTGAGGAATTGTATAACGCTCGAGCCTCGATACGAAACCTCGCGACGAGGTTAGGAGTCCGCAGCACGACTTTCCACAACGTGCTCATCGTGTTTGTGAAAAGTCATCGGAAAAGCGATATTGTCCCGGAACAGCATTATAGTCCTTTCGAGTAACAATTATTTGCATTAGATTTATATATTTGTGAGAATGTATAACCGTGTGAAGAATTTTCTTTACTCTTTAAACGTTTTCAATATTATTACGTAGTTTGCAGTATTGACGTAATTATATATTATATATACACCTAGAAGGGTACTAATATAAAATGAGATAAAGTTACAATTTAAATAAATAGCACTCTTCATCATTATTTTTATCAATATCAAATCCACCCGGAAATACTCGTGCGTAACGAAAGTGCGACTTTTCGAAAATTAAGATGCTCTTCTGTGTGTGTCGTGAAATTATATCTTCATTTTTCTAGTTTAGATTATTTTTAAAAATAATTAAAATCTAAAATCGCGCAAAAACCCATTTTATCAAAGGTACTCAACCTTTGAGAGCAAATATGAAAAATACATTAATTAAAAATTAGTAAATAAAAGATAATAAATAAAAATTTTATTTATTATTAAAATATATCAACTCTAATTTTTTGTATTTTTTTCATGACGATTGTTATGACAATTCCAAATCACTTATTGATAATAAACAAGTAAATTACGTCTATTTTAAATGGTCACTTTGTCGCTTTTTAAATTAATTTAATGAGGCATTTGGTTAGGGTTAAAGCAATTCACAAAAGAAAGAAGAAATATAGCTTTCTCTCTTTCTCTTTTATAAATCACGTTTCAACGCCAGTGGCGTAAAGTGATAATAAAACATACGTGAGAAAACACTTAAGCAGTGTTTATGTTTCCCCGCGACAGTTATGCATCTTGTAATGATGTGAAACAATGTTTTGTTATTATCAACATGTCATTTTATCGTCATCGCATTCATTTTAATTTCCATCATTGTTTTAAATGCTAGTTATTTATTGAATTTTGCTATGGAAAAGTGTACTATTTAAGAAAAAAATTGATCTACAACAATTTAATATATTAAATTATTAATATTAAATAATATTAAATAATATATTAAATTTAATATATGTAATAATAAATTTAATATATTAAATAATAATTTTAATACATTAAATAATAAATTTAAATATATTAAATAATAGATTATTTACAAAAGTAAAATATTTAATTAGAGTCCGCGACAGAGTCTTCATCTCTTTGATACGATAATAAATCTTTTTTATGAGATCGTGGAACGCGTGTGCTTCACGGAAATTCTGCTCGTGGCTCATAAATCAGCCGTTTTAATTGTCGCACATATATTCATACGTTAACACACGAGTCGATAATCTAATCTCACGGCCTTGACACAAAGGTCAATCGCAATTGTTGTCCTTCATGTAAATTCATTGAATTTCGTCCACTCGATAGGCCTACCGCAGAACTTCCGGTCAGGCGAATTTCCGGTGAATTAATAAACGTGACGGTCAAAAGTCATTCCTTCTTATATTTGCCTGTTTTTTTATCTATTTTTAATAATCATTTTGATTGAATCATTTTTCCGCTTATGTTTTTTTTGCACGCATAAATATTATTAGTAATTAATTTCTAAAAAAATTATTAAAAAATTAAATTCTTAAGAAAAACAATTTACATAATCGGATACTTTATACAATATTAATTTTTACTTCTAACTTTAAAAAATTGATTTTTAATTAGAAGTTTATTTACATGACTATCTAATTTATATAAAAAGAATTTGCATTAAATTTTTTAAATTGTGTTTAGACATAACTTGTATTTTAAAGAAATCCATTTAGCGGGATAAATGAAAAAGAATATATGCATATAAAAAATGTATGTGTAATATTATGTAAGAGGTTAAGTTATTCTTAAGATTCGCCTTGAGCGACGTACTTGGGAATTGATTCTTTCTATAGCCGTTTTTAAATTGAGATTTATTTGCAACTATTTGCACGCGCGTATCGCTGACATATAGCAGTCATTTTTATTAGTATAAAAAATTCTCAGTATATGATTGCTATAGTTTAATGATCTTCGAATTTTGGTACGTTTTTTTAATGCCTCTCATAATAAAAAATGAAAGAGTAATGAGAGAGAAGAGTAATCGTTAATAGAAAATATTTCAGAGATGTCAATAATATATTCATTCCAATAATAGCTTCGTCTTTTTTTTTTTTTATTTTTTTTTTTATTTTTATCTCGCTTTTTAATCTCGATTTTTATATTTTAAATTATCGTCCCTTTCGCTCACGAGAAAAACTACGTTCGACCTTCATAGTCTAGCTGGCTAGTTTCTCGCCTGCGCGTTTATTTCTATATCTTTTTCACGTAGCATCGGCGGCTCCGATTTCTTTTTTTCACCATGCGTTACTTCATTCGTATGCATAAATCATGTGCTCCCGGGCGGATACGGCGCGACGCCTACACACACACACGTGCCGGAAAAAAAATCTGTAGATTTCCGCCCTCGCAAATTGTCGATTCGCACGAAACTTCAAACGACGTGGTCTCGCTCGGGGAATCGCTATCAGTACCGGGATTGTTTCTTCTCATGGCGAACGAAAACCCTTTGGGGACACATATCGCACGACCAGACATCTCGAAGATGTCTTTAATCTTCGCATGAAGCCTGGCTCTGACCGCACCAGATATATGTATACGTAATAGTAGTCATTCATTGAATTTTTACTAAGGAAAGACTGATTGCTCCAAAGTGGAAGGAATCTGGCCCGAAAATGATATATTAAAGACGGGATTATTTTGCAAGTTACAAACATTTGGTTATACAATCTGGGAAAGATCAACATATAATCTTGTTTTCTTTATTATTAAATATGCAATGCAGAGAATGTGTGTAGAAAAGATTAAAAAGAAATTTTATTAAATATTTTCTCCATCATACATTTTTATTTTTATATTTTTATTTTTATATTTTTATTTTATATTTTTTATTTTTATATTTTTATAAGATATCCTTTACAAATATCTAAAAAAATATTTTAAGTATTTAAAAATATATATTTTGCTATCTGTTGAATCTTTCAATTTTATAATAGATAAAATATACAATTAAATTCTATTCTATTCGTAATTTGACAAGCATAATGTTTTTGATTATTTCCTTTTCCTAAATTAGTAAATTTGCAATTTCATCCAAATACCTAGAAACCTAATTTGGTTAGAAACGGGCCAGGCGGACGAATATAGTCGAAAGTTATTCTCCTCGAAATACGATAGATCGGTATTCTTGAAATATTCAGCATGTAGAATTTTAATATTGCTGTTAAGGAGGCGTGCTGGAATTTTGGTAGCGAAATACTGGGAGCGAGTCTCCTGTGAATATCCATTAAGATGATTCGCCGGATAAAGTTAGTAGAAAACCGTACAATTCTTAGTGATTCGTAAAAATTTCACGAGATTTTATTGGAGAGCCGTCCTTCAACTATTCTGAAAATCGAGTCTCATAAAAAAGGTGACGATATAAAATCACAGATATAAAATAAAAGAATCTTATTTGATTTATTTAACATTTGCAAGATTCATTAATCAAACTTACACATAAAAATGATTTAAGTCTTTTTAATCGAGGTAATCAAGATATAAACGAGAGTTGCAATCTGCAAATATAAAAAATAAGTTTATAATTTATAAACACTAGAATAATTATATATGATAATTGCATAGCTAATTTCACACTCTACCTGTGTGTAAAAATAATTACGAACTGTTAAATCGAGAAACGCATAATTATCTCATTTGGTACATAAATGTGCCTTTCAGCAATGCTAATTCGGCATTTTATTACATGTATACATCGATATATGTACATATACGCATCGATATGATATCGCATATATATAACTGCGAGTTATGCAGACCACACTTGATACATAGTTTAAGAAAGTGAACGTTTAGGCGAGACCTTTCATTAAGAATATATACGCGTGAGGAAGGACGTTGGCATTCGGACAGCATGAAAACATGCAGCAGGCATGAAAGTATAATTAGTTTATAATTTTATATAACGAACGACTGTACAATTCGAAAGGTTAATTGCGCTCTGATTATGAATTTAACGCGAAGATTAATCTCGCAATCATCCGATACGCGTGTACTATCTCTTTTATGAAAACTGATCGCAAATGTCATTAATAAACAATATATTTTATCTATTATAAAATTGAAAGATTCAACAGATAGCAAAATATATATTTTTTAAATACTTAAAATATTTTTTTAGATATTTGTAAAGGATATCTTATAAAAAATATAAAAATAAAAATGTATGATGGAGAAAATATTTAATAAAATTTCTTTTTTAATCTTTTCTACACACATTCTCTGCATTGCATATTTAATAATAAAGAAAACAAGATTATATGTTGATCTTTCCCAGATTGTATAACCAAATGTTTGTACTTAACTTGCAAAATAATCTCGTCTTTAATATATCATTTTCGGGCCAGATTCCTTCCACTTTGGAGCAATCAGTCTTTCCTTAGTAAAAATTCAATGAATGACTACTATTTTATAATAAAATGCGAAGTTATAAGTTTACGCATTTTCTGTAAAGATCAAACTGCTTATATTCGAAGGAGGGAAAGGGAAATAAAAATAGCAGGCTTCAAAATAATATATTCTCACAAAATATATGCCGGTAATCTCGTAATACGGAACGTTTAAAGCCACATGATAGCGCAAATTCGTTGATACTTTATCGTGACGCTGACTTGCGGAAGGCAACGCACTTTGGTCCTTGAATTCAAAATGGTTCGTGGTCTCCGGCTGCGTGCCATGCATGGAAACTTTCGTTTTAACCCGCAAATAGAGCTCTGTGTGTGTTACACGTGGAAAAGAGCAACAGAATTCGCTGCTATTGTTTGCTTTCATGGTTGCAATTTGCTTTATTTACAAAACGTTACAAGTGTT